AGTTGCTAGAAGTTAGAAGTTAGAAAGATGCAGAACTCTGATACCATAGATGGATCTAAACTATCAACTAGTTCGAAAACTAGGACGCTAAATGGTTTATACAAAACTTATCATAAACTATTTTTATTAGAGAAAACTATCTCAAAAGTTTAGCAGAGAAATATCACATACTATCAGAAAAAACTATTATTATGAAACAAAATTCATGAATTTCTATACGTTTTAGAACTACCATGAGGTTTCAGAAATAATCAATAAAATATCATGTACCCTATTACATCATTGTCAGACAACCATTATGAACTCTCAGTTATCATCATCAATCAATCATATAATTTCACATAATATTGCCATGCCTCAAAGTAATTCAAAATTCACCACCTCAACTACTAACCTGATCATAAAGAGAGCGCGAGTTCGGATCCGAAAGCAGAGAATAGACCTCATTGAGCACAATTGCCATGTCATGCCCAGCGGGCCCCGCGATATCGGGATGACACCTCTTCTGCAGAGCTCTGTATGCCTTCTTGATCTCCAACTGATCAGATGAGCTCTCAACTCCTAAGAGCTCATACAAATCAAGTTCACTAATCCAAGAAGATGAAGAAGTAGAAGCTTTGCGTATAGAAAAGTTATTATTGCGAAACTTGGTGTTCTTGGTATTGGATTTTGAGGGGTTAGAGATGAAGGATGGGGTTGCAGTGTGAAGAAAGAGGGTTGAAGAATGCATTGCTTGTTTTAGGGTTGTGTAAGAGATAAAGGAGGTGAAAGAGTTTGAGGTTTATGATGCAGAGGTTGAAGATATTTTGGAGGTTTGGAGAGGGACTTGCAAGAAGAAAGGTACCTGTAAGAAAAAGTTGCACAAAAGATCTTTCCTACTGGCCCACCCTCTGGTCTAGGAAGTAGGATGCATGCATGTCAACTGGTGAACCAACTCAAATGCATGAGAATTAGGCTTGACCCAAGTTTCTCTCGATTTTTTTTTTTTTTTTGCGTTTAAAGTACTCAATCTTTGTGTTTTAGCAATATTTTATCATGGATATTGATTCTCTCCCTTTTAAAAGGTAACAAAGGGACGATTACTTTTTATTATGTGGTATACGATCGGGATTCATTCTAAAATTGAATGCTACTCTGACTATATAATATGTACTACGCTCACTTCTGGTTTTTTGGTCGAGCTGGACCGTAAGTCAATAAAACGATGGACAATTATGATTAACGTATTAATCTCTTCACTATTTCTTAGAGGAGAAAATGATCCAAGCTTTTTTATTTATAGATGTCCCTTTTATGTCTCCATAATTTTTTTCTTTTAGTATATATGAGAGATAAATCATACTCCCTTTAAAAGCACGAGTTCGGAAAATCTTTTTTAGACAAATATGCTCCTTTATAGTTTGAACTACCTTATCTATAATCAAATTTTAATTTTCAATGGTCAGTATTACCCTTCACTATTTTGAATATTTTATTTATATCTTAATCTATCCTAATCATAATCATATCTTATCCTAATCCTATGTGAACCATGTTTAGCTTAACAATTTAAAAAAACTAAAATATTAATAAAATATATAAAACATAAAAATGATATTAGTTTGTTAAGATAAAGAAATTACAAGTAGATAACATATTATAATACATGAAGTATTGTAAAAAAACCATAAAAAATTTTAAAATTGCAGAAAAGACCCTAAAAAGTTCAAAATTATAAAACTCATCCAAATGTCTCAAAACTTAAAATAAAAAATATGAAATTAAAAAATTAACATCAGTTTGCAAAGAATTTAAAATTTACAGTTAACACCTTAATGTCTCAAAAATTATAGAAACACCATCAAAAGTTTAAATTACAAATAAGCACATTAAAATTCTAAAATTTTAAAACTTACAAACAACACAGATGAATTCAAGAGATTACCATGATACACCTAAAATTTTTGACATTTAAATTTAAATTTTTTAATTAACACCCTCAATATCTCAAAAATTATAGAAACACATTCAAAAGTTCAAATTATAAAAAGCCACCCTAAAATTCTAAAATTTGTAAATAAAATAAGATGAATTCAAGATATTACCCTTAGACACCTAAAAAATTAAAATTTGCCAAAATTAACCTCAAAATTTTTAAAAAACTCCTTCAAAATTTAAAAATCGTAAAAAAAACTCTAAATTTTCAAAATTTTTAACTAGCACACATCAAATTCGTCGATTGGTAGACCGCTGAAATTTAATATTTTTCAAAATTAATCTATAGTTTTAATAATTGCAAAAGACACCCTCAAAATTTTAGAGTTACAAGAAATATACTAACATTTAAAAAATTACCACCAACACATGAAACATAGAATTTACAACTACCAAACTTAAAAGTAAATTTTTTTAAAAACTCTTTCAAAAATTTAAAAATTATAAATCACACCCTCAAAGTTCAAAACCACAAAAATGGGCTAAAATTTTAAAACTTGGCAAAGAAAAGTGTAATTGTTTGGTATTTTATATATATATATATATATTAAAATTTCTAATTTAGGGATTTACTATCCATTTTCAGCATCTAAGAATAGTCTAAGTTGATACTGGTAAACAAAAACAATAAGAATTGATTAAAAACATCCGGTTAATGGATAAAATTTTTAAAAATATTATAGATTAAAAATTATCGGCACTATATAAATTAAAGTAATTTCATATAATTTTAGTAATAAGTTGGGGTAGCCAAAATACATTCGTAACATTAATTGATAGATGTTTAAATCCATAGAAATGATAAAACACTATAATATTATACCTTAGCATTAATTGATTTTAATTTAGAAACTTTAATCTTTGACGTTAATAATATTTATAGGGTAAAAGAATACAAGGAATTACATATGGAGAAACTATTAGAATATTTAGAGATAACTTTAAAAGAATTGAGTTATTTCCATTGCAAATGGGAAAGTGATGGAAATAAATCTAAAATTCAGAAAACGTCAATGAATCACTTGAATTGGCATTAACATAAGACATATCTATTAATGAAGCACTGAATGAGTTACATTAAAAAATAATTTAATAACTTTATCCTAATCAAAGAAAAAATCTCCATGGAAGACATAAGAAAAATTAGTAAGTATTCATAAATTCCATACTGTGTTCTTCAAATTAAATATTAGTATTATAATCTAAGAGAAATTGGTAATGAATAATGCAGGTATTTAGTTTAGATCTTTATAGAAAATGACAGGGATAGAACAAAGGTAATATTATTGAAATAACAGAAATTCTTATTGGATGCACATCAGAAGAATTCATTTTAGAGGAAAATAAAGAGATAGCTTCTAATTTATTTAAGTAATAAATTAGGAACACAAAGAATTTTATATATATGAAATTAATATTTATTCTCATTGAAATAGAAAAAAAATCAAAGTCTATATTTTGAGCAGTTTGTGTTGAACATCATAAGTACATTTGACTTCTTTGTAAAGTTAAATGATATGATAAAAAATTAACGAGCCTAGGAAAGATAATAGCATAAAAATTAAAAAATTAGTCTGATGTCACAATTGATGTAGATGATGAAGACAATACTCTAGAATTGTCCGAGAAATGATAAATGATAAACCTGAAGAAGGATTGATCTTAACTCAATAAAAAATAAAATAGAAGAAATAAAAACAATATTTTATGAATATTTTATAGAATAGTTTAATTATTTTGAGTGAAATTAGGAATCTTTAGAAGGGAGTTTCATGAAATTTTTTCGGTACTTTTATATTCTTATGTGGATGTTTTAATCATATAAAAGTATACTAGAGTTAGCATTAATCTTTAATTTATATTTTTTTATGAAGTCTATCAATGATTAGGAATAAACTTCATATTCTCTTTTGCATCGTTTTAACATACTTTAAATCAATCATTTTGCCATATTGGTTTTAAATATTCACCTTCCTTGTATAACACTTTTTAATTTTTTTTTACTTTGCAATGCTATACTTTCTCAAATAAAGCTTAGTTTCATATTGGTCAAAAATAATATGAAAATTCAAATTATTTTTAAATTATATTTGTTTTTTGTCAATTCAAATATCAACATGAAAATTTAAATTGGGTGTATCCCATTTAAACAAACATAAAAAAATAATCGGGATGTAAGAGTTTAAAGAAAAAAATGAGCACAAACTGCCAAAAATACTTAATCATGGTATTAAATCACGTGCATTGCACGTGTGTAAAAACTAGTCATTATAAAAGTAGGGGAGATGAAAATATGTAGAGTTAGAGTTTCCCCCCTGTTTTTAAGATAATTGTATGCTTCCTGTTAGTCATAGATGGATAAGGATGCATCCAAATAAGTGGGATTATCTTATCTTAGAGATAAAATATTTGACTAATTCTAATTGGATTAGAATTAGATCCTTTTCTCCTTTTAAATAAGAACGTATTGTGAAAAAGAAAAGTTACAGAGGAACAAAATAATAAAGAGAATATTGTCATCTCTTCCCTACTCTCTCAATTCTGTATTTTCGGAGTTAGTCGCGGGGTGATTCGTGGGAGCTTTTCACCATCTCGGTGTGATTGCTTCCCGATCGTTGCTTGAAGATCAAGGTGCATGGCAATCCCTACATAAGATCTGGATAGGTATTTTCTCTAAACAAGAGATTTAATTTCATGCGTATGCATAGTTTACATTGGTATTTAGGGTTAGATCTAATTATGATTGCATCTTTTATTTATTTAAATTAGGTCTGAAGTTTCTTCCATATTGGCCCTGGAAAAGAAAAGTAAGGTTTTATTATTAAAAAATTTGTTTTTAATTAAAATTGAATTTTGGTGTAAAAAATCTAATTTTTGACAACTGAGATGTCACATCTATAATAAAAACTCAACCTTTATGACCTGGTGGGCAATTTGTTAATAAATTAGGGATTTATTAAATTTTTTTGAGATCAGAACTTTTTCATTTTTAGAAAATTTCTACCTTTTTTGGATTTTTTACAAAAAAATAAAAATAAAACCCTAGAACTCGCGGCCGCCTACGCCAACAACGCTGATGGTGGTGGGGCCAAAGGTGAGGGGCACCGATGTTGGGCGCTAGAGCCACAGGTAAGTCCCGCAAGAGGCGACGATGTTAGGTAGCCGCTGTTTGCGGTGAAAGTTGATGTTTCCATTGTTATCGAATCTATTACAATTTTAGTCGTTATAATAAACTCGAATAAAATAAAAAGTTAATCTTTTTATAAGATTTCCTTACACAATGAAAATAAAAAGTTTACAACTTTATCAAACAAACGCAGTGATCGTTTATCGGTCTTCTGTTTGCGTGGGATCTTTGCCTGTGTCGGGGTTTATCCGTGGACTACCGTCGATCAGATCTGATTGTTGAAAAATTGGGCAGAGCTTCGTCTATCCGCGAAGGGATCGAGAAACCGTAGCTCTTATCTTGGAGAAGCGAGATAATCACTCTTCTTAAGATTACCGCAACGGGATAATCCTAATGAACGAATCGGGCTGCAGATCTAACTCCTCCTCCTTTCTGAAATCTGTGCACTTTAAGTCTTTAATCCGGCAGGGCTTCGCCAACTCTTCAAAACTCCAGATCGGAAAAAAGTGAGGACCCGGGGCTGTATTTATAGGCTCCAGGAGGTTTCGGGTGGTTAAAACCGCATAACGGGCCTTTTCTGCGTTGGAGACACCCCAGGGTGTCTCGGCCTCAGCCGAGACACCTTAGGGTGTCTCGTTGGTCCGAGACACACCGTTGTGCCTATTTGTCTGCTTCCGCTGTAAATTCTTCGTCCGAACTCGGATTTGAGTGATTCCAAGTGCGTTGGAAAGCT